CTTGGCCCAGGGGAAGGGGCTGGAAGTGCTCTCACCAACCCTGTCCAGGTGGAGGGCCACCTTTTATCAGGATTTCAGCTCAGGGATTTCTGGGCGAGAGCCTGCTTTGCAGCCCTTCATTTGTATATTTTTAGTGATAATTTAGAACTTGGCACAGTTAGAAAATTAACAAAAGGAACAATGTTCCCCATCCTTGGGGTCCCTCTGTCCCACCTCCCCAGGCTCTCTGCTCATCCCTGTGTGCAAGGCAGTTGGGGAGTTTGGGCTTTGGGTTTTGCTGTGCTGAAGGTCTTTGCTGTCACTTTGACAGGGGCCTTGGGCACCCACAGAAGACTGGGACTGAGGGGACCAAATCCATCTCCTGTACCCCATCAGCAGGTGACAGCGCAGGGCCAAGGCAGCTGGATCACCCAGAGAGCAGCAGGCTGAGTGAGCAGGACCTGCCTGCCAGTCCCCAGCCACTCAAAAGGGCCGCTCTGCACCTGGCCGCTGTAAGTTCCAGGTGCCGACGGTACCCTGGTCCACTGCACACAAATCCGCTTGGCTTAGGCAAAAAGGTCTATCCGCGGGACAAGCCGCGTGCCTCTGAAAACCATAGCCACGAAAGATGATGAGGAAAGGGAACAGCCAGCCTTAGTTACACCAGTGTCTCACAGCAACTTCCTTCTGATGGAAGATTTTTGAAAAGTCGCGGGCCAGAGGCCCTTAGCCACGACAGGAGAGGTAGGGCGCGGGGCTAATGTGACACGCTCCAGGAAGGGCAGCTTTTCCCTGGGCCAACCGAGGCCGGAGCCCACTGGGGCAAGGGAGCTGGCCGGGCATGGAGCAGCCGACTGGGGCGCGGCCCTCGGGGGCCCCGCAGGAGGAGCGCGCTGAGCAGCAGGAGGACACTCTGGCCCCGTCTGTCGAGGGTCGTGGCCAGGTGCTGCTGATAGGTGAGTCCTGGAACCAGGACGAGTGCTGCGTGACCCTGCAGGACCTTCGGGAGCCATCGCCGCCCGAGCAGCGCAGCGGACCCTTGTCCGGCCCAGCCACCATCCGTCCCAACAGCTCCAGCGACTGCGCCAGGCGAGGTCTCAAGCGCTCAGGCGACAGCTTGGCGAACGGCTCTGACGGCCCGGCGGCCAAGTCCAAGCGCTCGGCGGAGAAGCCGCAGGGCGCCGAACACGAGCCCGAGCCCGAGCCTGCGGAGCCGTGCGAGCGAGCGGGTCGCGCAGCTTCTCGTGCTGTGTGACGCGCGCGCGCTCTGCACGCAGCTGCCGCAGGTGCAGCTGCTCCTGGGCAAGGTGCGCGCCCGGCACTGGGGCCCACCTGCCGCTCTCTTCGGGGTCGCCGTGCAGCGGCGGCCGGAGGAGGAGGCCGAGGCGCGCCACCGCCTGGAGAGTCTGCTCTGCAGCGTCTTCGGGCCGCAAGGCGCCGCCGCAGAGGTGCACACAGCCGTGTTCCGCCCCGGCCACCCCCAGGGCGCCCTGGACGTGCAGCGCGCCGCCAGCCAGGCGCACGGGTTCCCCCCGGTGGATCGCGAGACCCAGACTGATGGTGAGGGGCCGGAGGGCGGGGCTGGGACGCCCGGCCGCGAGGGCACCCGGAGCTCCCTGGGAGGGACGCGTGCCCGCCTCGGCGCCCTCCGGGGCTTGAGTACCTTTTGGAGTGGAGATAAGCTCGTCTCCTTGCCCCCGGGCGTTCTCACTGGGATGATCTGAAGTGTCCGACAGACCTAATTTGGGGGGCCGACGGCTCCCACTCATCGGCCCCACCCACCGCTTGGGGTGTCGTCCCCACTGCTGCCAGTCTCCCTTTTGTAAAATCCTGAATGGGATTTCGTAGGAACAAGGGCCACCTCCTTCTTCTCATGTGGACGGAGTCCTCGCTTGGTCCTTGAGTCTCCTCCTCCCGAGAATAATAATCACACCAAACACTTTGCTGCTTCGAGCCAGGCCCTGCTGGAAGCCTTCTCCTGCCGATTCTCACAGCAGTCCTCTTAGGCTGCTTCTTTGGTGCTGGGGGTAGAACTCAAGGTCTTCCTCACACTGAGCTACGTTCCAAGCCCCTTTTTAAACTTTTTTCTTTTAAAAATAGTATCTCACCACATTGCCCAGGCTGGGCTCGAACTTGCAGTTCTCCTGCCTCAGCCTCCGGGGTTCTCCCCAGCAGTGCTCCGGACCCTTCTAGCAAGGAATCCAGGCCTGTAGCTGTGGGGAGTGCGGGCTCTCACAGAAGCCCGGAGCCCCTTCTCTGGGGAGCCCTTCCAGACAAGAGGGGACTAAGGAGGCTGGGGGGGGCGGCGCTCTGCCCTCTCCACCTGGTGACCCCAAGCAACTGTCCTCTAGTAACTGGCTCCCGCATGACAGTGAGGTGAAGGACCAGCTGATATCTGAGGTACTACCTATCCCACAGACGACGACGCTTCAGAGCGAATGGTGAGGCCCCTGTTTGGGCCAGAATGGAATCCTGAGCCACTCCTATGGGGCTTTTCCTAGCCCTTGGCCTTGTCCTGACTTGTAAACTTCCTACCCCCGGGGACTCCTCTCCCTCTCTCCTCTCAGTCCTCTACAGCACTTCCATGGGGCCAGCAGGCCTGGCCAGGAAGGCCCCTACCTACGGGCTCTTCCATCTGTGACCTTCAGTGGAAGTCAGACAAACCCCAGACCATCTGTGGACCCAGCCCCTTGGCGATGAAGTTCCTGGTGCCTGGACCCCGTCACCCTGCCCAGCCTGCCTTGACCCTCGTTCAGTTCAAGCAGCTTGCATTGAGCCCCTTCTTGACTCTGGCCCTCCCTGGTCCCCACAGTCTAGGGCTGAGGAACAACAGAGAATGCAGGGTTAGCATTGCGTCTTTGGTATCCTCAGAACAGACTCCAGGGCTCACAAAAGGAAAGATGGCTTTGGTCTGGGGTCTCAAGAAACACTTGGTGAGAGGTGGGTCCCCTGGAGAGGGGTGTGAACCCTAGGAAGCATTTGGACAGAGCCAGGGGTAACTGAGGGAAGGTAACGTATGTTTGCCAGACCTCCGAACTCACGGCTGGTGAGTGCTGGATGCAGGCAGCGGCCTTGTGGCCGATAAGCCTGGGACAGTAACTACATTCTGGGCTCAGGAGCAGGGAATGCACGCACCCTCAGGCAGGAGGCAGAGGGCATGGAAGACATGCTGGGAAATAACTGCTGCTGCGCCGTTCTCCATTCTTCTGGGACAACCTCTGTCCCTGGAGTGTTGCTTCTTGCTTCTGGGGACCCAGACTAAAGGGTCTGCCCTCCATGTTCCTCAGCCTCCCTCCTGGGAACCAAGAGGAACGGAGACCCACATCCTGTGCTGTTTGTCTCCTTTGAATGAAACAGAATCTCTTTCATGGATGCCCAGAAGTTCTGCCAATGCGAATCGGCCCCAGTCTGACTCATTTAAACCAGTGGTTCTCAACCAGGGGCAACGTTGACATCCCCTCCTACCCTAGGAGACTAATGGCAAAGCTTTTAGAGCTGTCTGTAAAAGGTATGATATAAACAAAAGGTATGATGTAATGATATAAACAGCTGGCTGTGGCACCCTTGCCACAGGCTTGCCACTACTGCCCTAGGATATTTAGCAATGTCAGGAGACACTGGTCATGGGGTGGGGAGTGTTGTAGTGAGTCAAGGGCCAGAGATGCTGCTTAACTTCCGGTGACACACAGGACAACCCATAACAAGGAATTGTGCGGCCCAAATGTCAGTAGCGCTGAGGCTGAGAAACCCTGCCTTAAACTGGGTAGAAATCCTCAGTGGAAGCTCATTGGTGTCAGATATCCGGTTTCCTGCCTAATCCCAGTCGGTTCCCTGGCCTGAGGAGCAAATGGACTCCACCCCAGGGACCCTTTGCTCTTGACCTCAGGAAATTGTTCTTTCTTACAGATTCACCTGCTCCCCGAACTTTCCTACTCCTTACTCCAAGGTCAGCCAAATAGAATCCAACACCACTGATGCTCACTTCCCTTCACTGCTAATCCTTCATGACTTTGTTTTCTTTAATCTTCCCATCCAAGGAATTTTTAAATTCATTAATTTCAAAGTCTATATAACTGATTCCCTCTTGGCTTCTGGGGTCATTAAAAGAAAGAGCCCTGGACTGGAATTTGGCCCTGTCCATGCCCTCAGCCAGTCATGGACCATAGAAAAGCAATTGAACTTCTCTGAACATCAGTATTCTCCTCTGCAAAAAAAAAAAAAAAAAGATCACCCGAGAGGCTGAGGCAGAAGGATCCCTATAAGTTCAAGGCTAACCTGTGCTATGTAGTTAGTTCAAGGTCAGCCTGAACTACATAGCAAGACCCTGTCTCAAAAACCAAAACAAAAAACAAAAAAAATCATCATTAAACACTGGGATGGGATCCAGAAGCCCCAAAATAGGCTCTATCATTTCAGTGTTGAGGATAGGTCTGGCCCTGTGTCTGACCCCTTGGAGCCCTTTCTGTGTAGCTGGCTGTGCCCTGAATCTTGTCCGGGTTGGGGTCCCCCTCCCACCGAAGGCTGCAGGGAGTAGGGTAGGGTTGACAGTTCACCAGCGCCGGATGTTCTTTCACTGAAAGTTCTGTCTCCTTGGGAGAGTGTTTTATGTTGCAAAATGTGAAGTTTAGTCTTTTCAAAGTACTTTTCCTTCTTCCGCCCTAAAATGGAAGCCACGTTATTCATTTAGAGAAAGCTTCATAGTCTTATTTGACTCAGCCCGGGTCGGTTTTGAGAGGCCTTCGGTCTGTTATGCCAATGCCATGAGTTTGAGGTAATTTTTGTTTTCTGAGCAGCTGGTATGTCGTAAGGGAGCTTTCTTTGGCAAAGGCGAAGGTTCTCGGAGAAGTCGCAATGACCCCCACATTCTGCTCCCTCAGTGGAAGAGGCCAGCTCCAGGAAGGGAGAGCTACTCAGAGATGGAGAGGGCTTTGGTCTGTGGAAGATAAAGGGTTCAGAGAAGCCCAAATCTTCAGGAAAGTTATCTGCGCCCTCCTAAAGCCCTGGAGAGCGTAAATGTCTGGAGTTTTGTTTCTGTGCCTGGAAATGGGGGACAGAGCTGAGTGTCCCATCCCGGGTGTCGTACAGTAAAAGAGGAAGTTCAAGGAGACCTGCAGCACACGGGGAAGGAACCTGACAGCTGTGCCCCTGTCGCAGATCATGGGGTCCAGTTGTCACATGTCCCCCTGGCGGGCCTAGCCTGGCCTGCAGGGGACAGGGTGGCTGTGTCCTCTGCCCATCTGGGGCCTGCAGAGAATCCTCTCGGGAGCCCCCACCATGGGAACCGCCCCGTCTCTGTGACCTCACAGGAGGTGTAGGTGACTTCGCCCTGCCCTGTGGCACCCGGATCCCGTCAGAGGCCAGAGCCACACCTGGAAGGCAGAGGTCGGGCGGCCCTCCGGGAGGGAGCCAGAGACCAGGCAGCTCCATGGAGGCCCAAGTGTAACCGGGCGGCCCCACCATGAAGAAGGTCAAGAAGAAAAAGGCAGAGGCCAGGCGCCGCCGGGAGTCCATGACGCAGCGGGCCAGCTCGGACTCCAGCACGCAGCCCAGCTCGGAAGCCGCGCAGCCGGGCACGGAGCCCACCCCGCCTCGGCCAGAAGCCCAGGCTCTCCCGGAACCCGAGACCGAGACCCGCCGCTCACCCGGGAGCCTCTCCCCACCCAGCCCCCAAGCAGCCCCTCCGGCCAGGAAAGCAGGTGCGACCCCTCCCCTACGCAGACCCCACCCGTGGGCCAGGGTGCGCAGGCGGTCAGCGTGCGTTCTGGAGCTGAGCTTGTGAAATGTGCAGGTTTTTGTTTTTATTTGGACCCAAAAGACCAGGATTTGTGGGTTTTGCGTGTCTCACTGAAGACAGCCGTGCATATTTACTAACCTTCACAGCAGTACCCTGTGAATGCTAAAAAATTAGAGCTAAGGGTGTCCTCATGGGCTGTCAACGATGCCCAGCAGCCAAGACCAGAGAAGCCAGTCTAGGGCGAGAGAGGAGAAAGGGTGGCAGGCCAGGGCCCGGAGGTGTGACAGCCCGTGGAGGGAGTTGGGCAATGTCCGTCAGGTGCGAGATTGACTCTAGAGACAGATTTCTGCTCAATGTAAAAAGCTTCACAGCAATCAGATCTTCCTGAAAAGGGCACAGCTGTCTGGAAAAATGGGTCCCAGCTTCTTGGGCAGCCAAAGAGAGGCTGAGTTAGCACTGGGAGCGTGGAGGGAACTCGGGTGGAGTCAGAGTGGGCAGTGTTGTTCTGATGCTCACCCTAATGGCACCCACCCTTGGCAGTGTCACTGAGCACTTACTGTGTGTCCAGCCATCAAAGTTCATCTTCTGGTCTAACAGCTTTATAGGGAAGGGACTATCCTTGTGCCCGTTTTATAGATGGAGAAACTGAGGCTCACAGGCGACAAACAGCTCACTCTGGAGCAGCCTGGTAGCAGTCTAGAGTCCTCACCCTGAACCACGGACAGCCACTCAATTCCAGCAGACCAGAGATCTCCCCAGGAGGAAGAACATCCTTCCCAGGGCCTCCCCTGCCTCTGCCCGAGCGAGTGCCCCTGGCTCTGTGGCCCTGAGCAGGCCACACCCTCTGGGATGGTGAGAGCACAGAGCAAATGAAAGTAGTGAGGAAAAGTGCTAATCCAAGGATTGCAGTGACAACAGGTCCCCAAGGCTAAGAATCAACCCATCCTCAGCGTGTGGCCACAGTTCTGAGTACCGTGCAGAGTGTTATGTGTACTGTGTACATCGGCCGTGAGATAAGTGTCCTTTGGAAGTGGGATTGTAGAAAGCCAAACTTTTCATTCCCAAATCTTGTGAAGACAGCATGGGATCCAGTCCTGGGGAGGAGTTTCCACTTACTGAGGACACAAAGCAGATTCACACCTGCACTTCTTTGGGGACATTTTCCTCCTCTGAGCCACAATGGGAAGGAATGTTGGAGATATGGGCAGAAGGCCTTTAAATAAAGGAAGTAATTTCTAAAACCAAGCCTGCCTGTGTGCAAACTATGGTAGCTCAAACTAAGATAAGTCCCCCACTAAGATGACTGTAATCAAAAAGTTGGAACGGCACCTGCCTCAAAAGCACAAGATCCTGAGTTGGATCCCCGGTACAGAGGGGCAAAAAAAAAGATGGACAGTAGGACCTGGGACAATGGTGCACACCTATAATTCCAGCTTCTTGGAGGCTGAGGCAAGAGAATCACAAGTTCAAGCCCAGCCTGCACAACCTAGCAAGATCCTGTCTCACAATAAAAATGGCTAGGATAGAGCTCAATGTTAGAGTGCTTGTGCAAGGCCCTAGGTTCAATCCCCAGTATCACACAAAAAAAATAAAAAGTTGCACAATCACAAGTGTTGAGGATGTGAAGAAACCAGAAACCAAGTGAAGTGCAACTGCTGAGGAAATCTAGAAAACTGGCAGTTCCTCAGAAAGTTAAAGAGTTGCCATCAGGTGTGGTGGTGCTCACCTGTAATCCCAGCACGGGGTGGGGGGGGCCAGGGCAGGAGGATCACTTCAAGTTCAAGGCCAGCCTGGGCTACATAGTGAGTTCAAGGTCAGTCTGAACCACATAGTGAGACCCTGTCTCAAAAAAACAACAACAACAAAAAGAATTGCCTTATGACCTAGCAGTGCTACTCTTGAGCATAGACACAAGAGAATTAAAAACTCGAGTCCCAGGGGCCGGGGATTTAGCTCAGTGGTTTCGCTTCCTGCTGCACAAGCGCAAGGACCCGAATTCGATCCCTAGTACCAAAAAAACAAAACACTCAAGTCCCTGCAAAAACTTGTACAAGAATGTTCACAGCAGAATCATTCATAATAACCAAAAAGTGGAAACAGCTCAAGTGCCCATCAACTGATGGATGGATAAACAAAACCTGGTCTGAAAACAGCACAATACAGCAAATGCAGTGAAAATACTACTTGATAATAAAACGGATGATGTACGGATACATAGTAGATGAACCTTAAAAACACTAGGCTATGCCCCAGGATTTAGCTCAGTGGTTCTGCCACCTGCCTCGAAAGCACAAAGTCCTGAGTTCGATCCCCAGTACCAAAAAAAACCCCACACACTAGGCTAAATTGAAAAAGCCAGGCCCCTCCAACGCAATTCCATGTATCTGCATCTGAAATGCCCAGAATAGGTAATTTTTGGGGCCAGGAACTTAGGGGAGGAAGAGCCAGGGAGTGAATGCTAAGGAGGATGTGATTTATTTTTAGGAGATGAAAATATCCTGAAATTAGGTAGTGGTGAAGGCACTCAACATGCCTGAATGAATGAATTTTATGGTCTGGGAATTATCAATTCTAATTTTTATAACTAAAAATAGGGAAAAAAAGGAACCTCGCCTTTGGAATCCCTTCCTCATTCCAGGAAGATGAGTGTCCTGGGCAGAGTTTGCGGGAGCTCAGGAATGGACAAATCTGTAGCCCAGGCTAGCTGGGTTGATAATAGCAGAGTTTCCCGGCCAGAAATCCTCTTGCCTGACAGCAGGGGGCGCCACCTCCATGTTCTGCTGGGATTCAGCCCAGAGGACAGAAGTGGGAGATTCCTTTGGGAAGTATTTCCAGCACTGCAGCCCAGAGCAGCGCTGTCTTCTGCATGGATCACCGCCCCCACTCCATGAGCAGAACATGGCAGCATCCCCTCCAGAAGTCTCCAAGACACCTCTCATGGGTGGGCAGTCACCTGTTTGTGTCACTCCCCAGCCAAATTCCTGGGCTGTTTTCACTGACTGGAAAGTTAGAAATCCTGAGTTGAAGTCAACTTGGGCAATCTACTTGCCATCAGGGCACATCCCTGACATCCTTTGAGCCTCAGTTTCCTTATTTGTAAAATGAGACAAACAATAGCCCACTTCACGGGATGGTTGTGACAATTAAGTGAGCCAGAAGTGTGGGCACAGTGCAGTACAAGTGGTTATGTTGTCGTTATTTACGTTACTCCTGTTTGGGAAGGGATCATGCTGAGGGACGGAAGTCCAGCGGGGTAGATGGGTGCCACTACCTAGATGATGCCTTTAACACTGTAGGTTTCCATGGTAACCCTGCTGCTGTCCACACATGTGCGCAGCTTGGCAGTGAGGGAGCCTTCCCGAACTGTCCTCCTGTCTGTCCCTCAGCTCCCAAGGCATGTGCGTCCCTCATCTCTCCCCTTCTCTGTCCACCAGGGCCTGTGACCCTCGCAGGCCTGAGGCCCTGCTCCCGTGCTGCCTGCCCAGGCAGCTCCACGTGCTGGCACTGTCTGGGGCTCTGCCACAGCCGCATCTTCGATGTCCTTCTGCCTTGGGACTGGCAGGCCATGCCAGGGAGAGGATTCCCCAACCTCCTCACCTTCTACAGGTTCCCAGGCCGTGGGGGGCTGGCGCCTGGGGCTCACAGTTCAAAGGGCCAGGCTCTGTCCCTAGCCCTTGGTAGCAGTCCTGTGTAACTTTCTCCAGAATGAGGCTGAAAGAAAAGGCTTTCCAGGCCGGGGATGTAGCTCAGTGGTGCCGCTGCCTGCCTTGCAAGTGCAAGGTCCCAAGTTCTATCCCTGGTACAAAAAAGAAAGAAAGAAAAGACTTTCCTTCCAGTTGCTACTTCTGGGGGTTTGGCAGGCACGGCCCTTTCTGATGGGACCTGCCCTGCTGTCTGGGGGCCCCACCCACCCTTGCAAAGAAGTGCCTGTTTCCTTCCTTCTGGGACCTGCTTCTCTGGCAGTTCGCTTTTCTTTTCCCTATAGAATCCGTCCCTTCCTCAGAACACACTCCCTGGCCGGGTGTGGTGGCACACACTTGTAATCTAGTACTCTGGGAGGCTGAGGCAGGAGGACTGCAAGTTCAAGCCCAACCTGGGCAATTTAGCGACTTAGCAAAATCCTGTCTTAAAATTTTTAAAAATTCTAAAAAGGGCTGGGGATATATCCTTGGGTTCAATTCCCAGTACAAAAAAACAAAAACACAAACAAAAAAGTCACCTCCTTCATAAATTCCACTGGACTTGGGAGCTTTAGGAGCTTGGACTTCTTGACCTGCAGAGGAATATTCCAAGAATTTAGTGATAAGAACTGATTGTGAGGCCTAAGCCCCCTCTGGGTGACAGCAAGGCCTCAGCCACTCAGGCTGTTTCTGGGGTCTCCAGCAGGGCCATGAACCCCCGGCCTGCTCTGTGGGTGTCACCTGCAGGCCCACCTACTTGTCTTCTTCCACAGAGCCACAGGAGCAGTGCCAGAGCTGCCACTGCCTCTCCTGAGAGGACCCTGTCTATGTTGGGAGAATGTGTTGATGATGTCCCCATTTTTCCAGGGCTGCTAGGGCGCCGCATGCCTGGCAAAGGCTCCGCCAGGCCCAGGGTTGGTCCCATGGCCTCCAGTGTCTCCATGGAGGAGGGCCCTGCACTCAGGGATCCCACTCCCATTTCCCAGGGGCAGAGCCCGCCTGGCCCCTCCCACACCCTTATCCTCATCCTGTTGCTCCCCACCTCCTCTCTCTCCTGTCCTTACTTGGGGACCAGCACCCCACCTACCATTTCGGGTCCCACCCAGGAAGCCTCCATCCATCTGCAGCCGATGCTACCAGGGTCCCTGTGGGCTGCAGGCCAAGTGTGGCTGAGGGAGACCTACTGAGCACAGGTTCTAGGACAGTGTCCACCTTTAACCATGTGCAGTTGCTAGACAGGAAGCACTGTGTCCAGGGAGGTCCTGGGAGTCTCAGAACAAGACAGCACTGGGGTACAGCTGAATGGCCTGGGGCCCCTCAAAGAATCCTGGGATCCTCTATGGCTTAAAGTGAAAAGGAAGAACACCATAGGCAGAGGAAAGGCAAAAATAAGGCTCAGAATTAGGATGGGATGAAATCTTGGCTCTTGGTTTAAGATTCACATTCCTGTTAAGTAAGAATTCCTACCTGTGTAGGATTTCTTCAAAAGGATTGCATTTTTGCAATGCCTTCCTGGAAATGATTAGTGTAATTAATTGTATATTTTTGCCTGCCTTTCTAACAGGTGTAATATGTTATTTCCTGAGGTTCTTTATCTCTAAAATGGTTGGTGGTACACACCTATAATCCCAGCACTTGGGAGACTGAGGCAGAAGGATTGCTGTAAGTTCAAGGCGAGCCTGGGCTACATAGGGAGTTCGAGGCCAGCCTGGATTACACAGTGAGACCCTGTCTCCAAAGAACAGAACGAAAAAGAAATGGAAAAAGAAAAGGAACACACACAGGAAGGAATCAAGCGCAAGGACCTACCCCCCAGGGTGGTAGTCAGGCCGAGAAGGACCCCCAGCGTGGGATGTCTAGCACACACTAGCCACGACCACCCCCATGACCTGGCCCCCCTCCAACACCAGGGTAGCTGACGTCCCAGGTCAGCTCATCCCCCCGTCCCAGGGGGTCTTGTGTTGGGGATCTGTTGGAAGGGGAGGAAATAATGTTCCCTCAAGAGCAGGATCCAGCGGGGACCCCATAATCTCCTCTTTCTCCCAGCTGCAAAGTGCTCTTCCCAAGCCCCTTCCTGCTTGCTCTGCAGAAAACCTCCAAGGAAACACTGCGCTCCTCTTAACTCACACGCTCCGCGCCCTCTGGACTGTGGCTGTGGCTCTGGGGGCGCTGGGGGCTGCCTACTACATCACTGAAGCCTGGTGACTTCCCCCAGCCCAGCCCGGCAGGTAGGAGGAGCCCCTGCCCCTTCTCTGAACAAAGGAAGCGCTGGGGCCAGGAGGCCCACTCCCGGCCTCTCAGGCAGCCCGGATGCTCGGATGCTCGAAGAGGATGCTGGGCCTGTTGTCAGGGCAACAGAGCCACGCTCCTAGCTTCTCCCACGCCCCTCTTCCCTGGGAAGGCTCCCCTGGTCACAGGTACTGGCCAGGAGGGGATGAGAGGGCTTGGGCCAGACATTCCTACCTGTCTCAGGGTCTTTCCTTAGTACTTCCGGAAAGCTTGTCCCTTTGCCACCTTAGGGTTCCTACCCTCCCTTCCTAGCCTAGCACCCCTTCCCTGCCACCTTCCATCTTCCTTCTGTCTTCTCCATCACGGTGCTCTCCAGGCTGTTCTGTGTCATGCTGTGCAGGGCTCTTTGCTACCCTGTAATCTGACTTCCCAACGATGCTGCATACTGGGGGCAAATGGCAGGCCTCACACTGCCATGTTCACTCTGCCTCCTATTTGGGGAAAGGTACTTCTAGAATATTCTTTCTAAAACTCAGTGAACCTCTCCCCCTGGCACCCTCTTCAGCCAATGGGGAGGCCTTAAAAACAGAAGTCTTCCTTGGGGCACTGAAGGCAGTCAAACTCACCGCTCTCCGCCTCTCACTTAGCTTCTGGGGCCCTCAGAGAAGGAGGAAGAAGCCGGAAACACTGACACGAAGCCCCGTTGATGCCAGGCACTTTGGCAAGGTCGCTAGGCCTGAGCAAGGGGGTGGTCTCCATGCAGCTGAGTGTGACTGAAAGAAGACCAGACATGAGGAACAGATAGTTTACTCTTCCACAAATGGATCTTAGCTGCCAAACCCTCATCCAGCAGGTGTCAAACAGAAAGCCACTGGTGTTCTGGGCCACAGAGAATTGTCTAAGCAAATGGCTCTGTCCTTATTCTCTTTTTCTTACAGATGCAGTTTCCATCAAAGGATCTCACTTGTCACCAAAATAGAGCAAAAGCAAAATGTGTTTCTTTAGTGTGTTTTACTCAGGGACACAAATGAGCAGGGGGGTCAGTGTGGGGGGCCTGACCTGGGAACTCTTGGGGCCACACATAAGCAGCTCCTCCCCGGGGCTACAGACCAGGAAAGCCACCTCCCAGCACACACTCAAGAGAACAGGTGACTTGCTCTATATTTGCCTGAGTCCCAATGCAGGAACCATGAGGCTTAGTTGAGGACCTATGGTACTACAGCCAGCTGTACTTCCAGGCAGTGCTCATCGGAGTAGGGGGCCAGGAGGAACGCACTGGTGCTCATCTGGGATAGAAGTCCTGTTCAAGGTGATCTCAGCAGAGAGTGCAGGAGTGGGAGGTCACACGGGGAAGGGAGGATGGTCAGTCCTGGTTGCAGAGGACTCCATCTGAGGGGGACGCTGAGGTATTTCACCCACACTATCTGGGAGGCAGGAGATTCATTACCCTGCACTTTGTCCTCCTCTGGGAAGGAACCTCAGGCAAAGAAATGAGATATCCCAAAGCCACGACCAAGGCCAACCCTACATGCACATAAAGGCTCACAGAGCCACGTCTAGGGGACCTACTGAGCCTCTAAGACCTGGTCCAGTAGGAGTAGGCACATTGGCCTATGGCTGTGGACCCTCAGGAAGGGCTGTTGCCCTTGAGACCATTTTGGTACCAGGAATCGAACTCAGGTCCTTGCGCTTGTGCAGCAGGCATCAAAACCACTGAGCTAAATCCCCGGCCCCTTGAGACCATTTTGGATAGACAGATTTGGTCTGGGCCATTGCGCGCAGGGTGGTTTATCCAGGCGATCACTGGATCGTCTCATTTGCTGCCGATTACAAACAACAGCCTCCAGTAGGAGCTTTTGGGAGCAGAGAGAAAAGCCGGAAAGAAGAGTGAGCAGGTTACGTGTTGAAAGCAGTGCTGCAGGCCCATCTGCTGTGGCTGAGCTGGGCCCGGCCTGGCAGAGGCTGGCCCCAGGGCTCTGCAGCCTCACCAGGCTGGGTGGGCTCAGCCCTGGCCCCAAACGTGGTCTGGAGAGCACAGACTGATCAGGACAGGGATCCTGCCAGCATGGGAAAGGTTCATGGGCTGGGTAAAGGAGCAAAGGGCAGACCCAGGTCCAGGAAGCCCTTCCTCCTGCAGCTGCCATCTGGTCTACCTGGCTCCCCATGCCAGAGGCTCGGGACGGCTGAAAGGTCCAAGCAAGGCTCCACCCGCACCCCGGAGGAAAGCCACCCTCCCACTGCCCTTGCAGCTCGGTTCACAGCCTTCCCTGTGAGACAGAGGAACACAGTGACCAGGATCCAGGGAGCTAGACCACCACACGGGGCCAGAGCCAGTGCCAAGGCCCGGAGGGAACACCTAAGTCGAAGCCTCTTCCACCTCCTGCAAGGCCCAGCAGGACCACCCAACTCCTCGAGCTGCTGTGGCAGGTCCTGGCCTCACCAGGGGTCTTGTGGAGACCTTCATCTCCAAGCAGTGGCTCTGGGCATGCGGGGACAGCTTGTGCACCGTGACATCTCACGCAGCCACTCACTGAGGGACAGAGCAGGGATTGGAGTGCCCTTGCCAGTGTCCCAAGATGCATTCCTGGCTAATGCCAAGTGGAACCAAGCCTGGAGTTTGAGGCACCTCCTGGAGTATGTGGCATCACCAGCTGCCAAGGAGAAAAGTGTCCAAGGAAAAAGATACTTTGGTCCCAGCCACGGGGCTGAGCAGGGTTGGAGATGGAGAGTTAAAGGCATCTGTTCCAGGTGGATGTGGTGGTGCACACCTGTATTCCCAGCACTCTGGGAGGCTGAGGCAGGAGGTCGGCAAGTTGGAGCCCAGCCTGGACAACTTAAGGACAGACAGTGAGACCCTGTCTCAGAAGAAATTTTAAGGGTGTGCTGAGGATGTAGCTCAGCATCAATGGGCTTCATCCCCAACCAACTCCAAGCAGGCAGTGCACATGCAAGGTTCCTGTCCCCAGGTACTAGGACAGAGGTGCCCAAGGGAAATAGGGTGGCAGATCAATTGGGGTCTGTTGCATGCCTTCAGTGATCAGTGTGTTGTATGTATTTGGGGACATTGTTTTTTCTGTGGGAACTAACAAAAGTACAGTCATATTGTGATGGAATTAGGAACTGATTTCGTTTAAGAAACTTCCAGCCAACACAGTAGTGAACACCTGGAATCTCAGCTACTTGAAAGGCTGAGGCAGGAGGATCACAAGATCATGGCTGGCCTGGCACCCTAGCGAGACTCTCACAAAACAATCAAAAGGCCTGGGGTTGGAGCTCGATGATGGTGTGCCGTGGCTCAGGGGTCCCTCTGTGGTTGTTCACTGAAGCATTCCGCTCCTGGGAATGTCTGACATATAGAAAGTGGTCAACAGCATTTTGCTTGGATTAGAAGGAAAGGAGCGAGGGAGAGAGGAGAGAAGGGACAGAAATGAGGGTGTAGGGTGACACTTTCTAGGAAAAGGAGGCCACATTTTTATTCTATTGGCATTTTGCTTTAACTAATCCTTCGTCTGTTTTGTTACTCATTTTGTTAGCATCAGACATTAAACCAAGGGTTGTTTCTTGGTCCACGGGCAAGGCCAGCCCTGGATTTGCAATGCTCTTCCCCTACACCAGTGGCATTGAGGGGCAGGCTAGGTGTGATCCCAGAGACACACACTGCATCTGTGACCTCGTGGATCCAGGGTCCTCTGGCACTCTGCCAGCCTCTGTCCTCCCAGAAGGACACCCCAGCAGGCTACACACAGGCCTCAGGGTGAGGACCAGGGTGGCAGAGGGGACAGGAGTGGGGGACGGTGCTGTGGGCCAGACACCTCCATCCTCCTTGCTGTGACCCCCAGGCCCTGCTCCCTGGGGTGAGCCAGGGCCCCACAGCGGATCCTGGACTGCGGGCCAAAACCTTTGGCCCATGACAGGCCACGTGGGTGGTGTCTTCCTTCCCCAAGCATCTCCCTGCTCTGCAGAGCAAAGGTGACCTAGGGATGGGGCCGAAGAGCAGCAACAAACCACATAGGAAGTCTGAGGCCAGAGGGGTCGCAGGGGGCTGAGCCCCGTTAACCAGAACAGCCTGGCCCGCATGTGACAGGGCTGTGGAGGCTGGTCCCGCAGGGGCCTGGTGGGTAAGTAAAGGCAGGATGAAGCTCGGCACCTTGGGACGCTGGGACATAGCCCTGCTCAGCTCAGCAGGAAGTCATGAGGATCGCTCAGAGCCTCTGTGCCACCGGCTCTCCTGGCCTGATCATCCCTGAGGACACTCAGGATTTGCTTGCACTGGCATCTAATGGCCAACTTTTACTCCGCCACTCCCAGATGCTCTGGGGAGCAATGTCACCAGTCATCGCCCACCCTCAACCTGGAAAAGCAGAGCCTGGCAGCCCACCCCAAGCAGGGACAGTTACCCCACGACAGGAGCTGAGGCTGCCACCCCAGGAGGAGGCGTCAGCTCAGGGAGGGAACCTGAACTGCTCCCCCAAAGCCATGCTGGCTCCCCAAGGGCCTCTCAGAACCTATCTTGAGATACCCATCAGCCAGCTCCAACGTAACCAGGTTACCTGTGCCGTCAGCCTTCCCCATCTTTCCCCTGTCCTAGGAAACCCCAGGGTTCCAGCCCCTGAAGAAAGACCTCCAGCATCCTTATCTGTGCCTCCCAGTGCCAGGCCTTGTGCCCAAAGCCACAGGCATACCCACCCCACCTCTCCACAAGGTCACAGCCCTGCACAGTGCAGAGCTGGGAGCACAGGTGCTTGGCTCAGGGACCAGGTGCGAGTTTACCCCCTGCCCAGAAGCTCCCTGGAAACTCCGGGAGAAAGGCTTGCCTCACAGAGCCCCGCAGCAGCTGGGGCTCTTGGCAAAGGCGGCTCCACCTCCCAGTCTACAGCTGTGTGGGAAACAGCATGGCCCCTTTCTCTTCCTTCTCCCAGGGAGCAGCAGACAGAGCCCTTATTCACAAGCCCTCTACTGAAAGCTTTCTGCAAATGCAAATCTCTCCCAAGTGGGCCCTTCTTTTCAAACACTTTCACGCTCCCTGTTCCCACTGAGCACTGAGCCAGATTCCGCTGGGTGGAATCCAAAGGCTCCCCCAGAAATAATGCAGGCCTGGAAAGGAACCTGAACAAGGACCTTGGCCCTTTGGCCATGTGCAGGTACAAACTGTCTACCTGTGCTGTCCACTGCTTGGCCTCTGCTGTCCTCAGAGTGTTCGGTGCCACCCTGTGGAGCCACACCACTCCCGGGTGACTGGCGACACAGCAGAATCCTTGCCCACCTGCCAGAACCCAAATGAGCCTCTAATGAACCCACTCCTCCCTCCCTGGGGTGGGCAGCTGCCCAGCAGGCTCTGGGTTCGGCTGGAGGAGCAGAGCCAGTGGGAGGCTATGTGGCTGTGTCCTTCCCTACAGAGGGCATTTCCCTCGGCCCCATCCCATCACAAAGGGCTCCCTTCCTAGGCTCCCAGCTCTGCCCCCCAGCCAATCTGGGGGGCCCTCCCTCCAGGGCAGGGACACCAGTTACACACACACACACACACACACACACACACACACACACACACACACGTGCTCAGGCCTTAGCCAGGATGGAGTTGAGAGAACCAAGATTCCTTCTCTCGGTACCTTCCCACCCCTGCCAAGACATTTTTTTCCAGATTCTATAGAATCTTATGCCATATATTTTTAACCTGTGTTTTCCATTTTTCTGCTTTCCAAAGGAGATCCTTCCATGCAATATGTCATTTTTCTTAGAAATAGCTGCACTCTGTCCCATTGGATTGTCAGGCAAGTGGTTAGCCATTAGCGGGGCCTGAGGGACAAAGCAGGGAAGTGTGTGTCCACAATAGCATGCCAGCCAGGCATGGTGGTGCTTGCCTGTAATCTCAGTGTTCCAGAATCA